TAATAGTAATAGTAATAGTAATAGTAATAGTAATAGTAATAGTAATAGTAATAGTAATAGTAATAGTAATAGTAATAGTAATAGTAATAGTAATCAAAGTTTAATGTCTTTACGTGGGGCATGGTTACCCATATTGCCCGAGCCAGAGGCTCATGTATGAAACGCAAGACAACAACCCACCCATCCCACCCCAGGGGAGGACATCCATCACACAGTAATCTCGTGCGTGGGAAATTAACGTCTCCTACCCCTAACCCTGCAGGAGACGGGACCTCCATTTATTCGTCCCTATCAGAAAAGACTAGAATATCTAAACCATTTCTTGATGTTATAGAAAGGCAGCATATTCTTCTCAATTATTTTAAGACCTTGAGTGTAGGTCCGGCCGGGGCTCGAACCCTCGACCTCCCGCACATCAGTCCAGCGCTCTATCAATTGAGCTAACCGGGAGGCGGTTTTGCTTGGAAAGTAATATTAGTGAAAATATATAACGTCAGAGACTAAATACCTTGGAATTCTTTGAGTGATCAAGCTCAGACTCCTCATTATCTGGAGGGAAGAAGCTGTAATTTGCAGCCATGAGATGGCTGGTGCTGGCACCACTGCTGGTCTTTGCCATTGCTCTTCCATCTTCCGTAACACTAGTCTTATCGCTTTGAGCGAGATTATTTTTTTCCCCAGTTTGAGAAGTTGTTGCTCTTACTCCAGTTAAATTAGAATTAAGAGGTTTAATTTCTACAGAGCTGTAAACAGTTTGTTTCACTGCTGAAGGGGGATTCCCTGATTCCTTTGAAATTTCAACGCTTGGCGCTGTTGCACAACTTTCGGACTTCTCGGAGTTTTCAGTTTCTGAAGTTCTATTTTTGTCCGTAGAATCCTCCTGTTGGTTACTGTCCTTCGGCCTTTCTTTAGCAGTCATCTGCTGCATGACGAGCTTTTTCTCCACGCTAAAATCTTTTCCGAGTGATGGATTCTGATGTGAATTAGGTTTAATGTCTTGTGTTTTTAACTCTTGCATGCTCTCCCCAGCCTTGATACCCTGTGACGATGATCCCTTATGTGAAAAATATCTTGATTTGGTTGGAATTTCAGCTTTCTTTGCACCCTGTTTGAGATCTGCACTTTTCTCTTTCCCAGTTTTTTCAAACTCATCCCTTTCTAGTTGAAATGCTGGGTGATTGTAAGCATCATTTATGGTAAATCTGTCTTTTGGATCCAACTGTAATGTTGCCTAAAGATCAACCATTTGAAAATTCATCTTCTTCACTTCCAGAAATTTCATTCTTACACCATTTAACCCTTTTAACTCCCAGAAGTGATTAACCTGTAACTTCTCCCTATAACATCCATACATGATCCAGCAAACAGGTAATGAGAATACTCAAACTTATCAGGTAGAAGTTGTTCCCTTGATTGAACACCAAATTCTCCTAATCAATTTACAAGGAAGTGTGTAGCAGCTCAAGGGGAGAATTCATAATCAGATCTTGGGAGTGAAAGAGTTAAGTGATCACAGCTATTGGCAAAAGGTCCAAGAGACAGAGAGGAAGAGAGGACAGGGGGGGGGGAGAGGGAGCATGGCACATCCAATATCAAGAAAAACAGGGTGTTGCAGGAGTAAAAACAAAAGCAAGAAAAGCAAAGGATGTCAGTACTTTCTCATGATTTCCCATTCCCTTGTAAAAAATTAGCAATGCTCTCTTCTTGTGGCTATTTGCATGTATTTCCTTACAAATGAGTTTAGTTGATCCATTACAACATGATTTTAGCCAGCTGATAAGTTTGTCATATATCATAACATGTGTGATAAACATGTAAACAAACACACAAACTGATACCATTGAGACAAGTTGCGAGTTTATAATTTCTGGGAGGAAAAGGGTTTTGTCCTTGCTCAGCTCTACTTAGCATACTCTTCTTGCTTCACTTCCCATCCCTAACAACAAGTCCATTCAAGGGCAGCATTTCTACAAGGATTCAAACAGATGTCCCTCAAAACTCACTTGCATAAAGCTCAGCATGATTCCATTAATGACTCCCGCATATTTCCTTCCTAATGTCTGAGGGATAATTGTTGTTGGAAACTATAGGAAGCAGACATTAAAACTTGTTAATACCCCATCACTGAGTTAAGTAAAATCATGATAGGTCAACACAATAATAACACTTACATCACAAATAAAACACTATGTAATTCTACACAACATTCTTCCAGCTCAAAAAGGTTTCAGCTCACTAACAAGGCCAGGAAAAGACAATACCTTAAGTCCTTTGAATCTGGGATTGTTATAAAACATTTCCATCTGATCTGGTGGAAGCTGACCCAAAACCTAAGGCCACAAACATAGAATACAGACCATTTTTATTCAGTTATACATGGGCAAACAATAATTCTTACATTAAAAATCCTGCATCTTTTGACAGATTTATATACCAACCTTTTGAATTGTAAACAGCTGGTCTATTTCACTTTCTCCTGGAAAGACAGGCTGTGAAAAAACAAAAAAGGGAAAAAAAGACATGAGTTAAAATCAAGAATTGTCAGGAAAAAGACATTACGACAACTTTAATCATATGAAAGCAAATGAACTTTACTTAATGAGTGAAGGCTTGGCAGTAATTCAACTAAAAACCCAGAAAATATGATGGTCCGGTTTTTGAGGACACAAAACAGCCTTGTTCCAATAAATATTTCACTCTTCTGTTCAAATATCCCTTTAACTCCTATGAGTGACCAAGACAGAATTTCTCCTTACAATATCAATACAATATCAAGCAGACAAGTGATGAGAATAAAGACAAATGTCAAATAGGGAGTTATTAGTCGATCCAATTCCAAATTCTCCAAAGTAACATCATAAGAATTGCATGGCAGACAGTAAAGAGAATTAATGGTGGGTTTTTGGGAGTGAAAGGGATAGAGAGAAGTCTAGCATTTTACAAGCATCCATTAATAAATAATAAATGCATAAATAAATAATAAATGCATTCCAGACAAGTTACTCATGACAATCTTTACCCACCTGGCCATCACTCAGTTCTCCCAGAATGCAGCCAATGGCCCAGATATCAACTGGTTTACCATAAGAAGCCCTGAAATAACAGAATCAAACATGATTTAATGCACATTAAGTAAAAATAAAAACTGTATGAGTCATTTCACGCAACATGCAGGGCTCGACACCAACAGTAGCCAACTAGCCACAGACTAGTAGAAATTCAGTTTTGGCTGGTGGTTTTGAATTTCCAGTAGCAAGTTTGGCTAGTAAACAAACTGAAATTGTTGTAACTTCTAAGATGTCACTAGCCACTTGGCTAGTAAGTTGAAAAGTCAGTGTTGAGCCCTGACATCTAAGAACACCTTCATGCTTCAGATTTCCCTAATTACACTCACTCACTGATGAATGAGCACATCTTACCATCTCTTACACCTACCCTAAGAGCAATTCTGGTGATCTATACCACCGAGTTGCAACATAATCTGTGAACTGTCCGCTGCCATTAACAGTCATGGCTCGGGCAAAACCTGCAACAGTGAGGATTTGAGCTGTTGAAAATTCCTGAGTTACTTCAGATTTATTAGCCACATTCATTATGTAGTTTTTGGTATTATCAAATTTCCAGTTGTTTGAACTTACCAAAGTCACACAGTTTAAGAACCCCATTCTTACTAATAAGCAAATTTTCTGGTTTAATATCTGTTGATAGAGAAAAGGAAGAAATTAGAGACTGAGAAGCAAAAAGATTGAACAAGTAATCACTTCAAACAGACCAAATTTTGAACAATGTATGTAGTTAATCTGAAAGTGCTCTTGATTTGTACAACCTTATGAAAATAATGATACTTTTTCTATCATCAGTCAGAATACCTCGATGAATGACGTCATTCTGATGGCACCATTTGATGGCTTTAATGAGCTGAAAAACATAGTTTCTAAAAGGAAGAAAATGGAAAAGAAATATAATCAATGGATGATGGGAAAGTTAAACTTCAATTCATTTTTGGTTCTATGCAATTTCTCTTTTAAAGCTGTCATGGAGCTCACCTGACTTGATTTGAGGGAACTCCATTGGGCATTTCCTCTAGTAACTCAAGCATGTTCTTTTCAATCAAAAGAGAAAATCCAAGTGAAGTTAATAGACCATACAAGCATTCACTAAAAAGTATGGTTGATTTATGAACAACAATTTCAAACATGCAAACTTACTCTCTCAACATATTCAAAAACCAAATACAGTTTTCCCCTTCTGCGAAATGCTTCCCTGCAAAAAAATATATAATTAAGAAGTAAACAATTGAAAGGTACTAATTAACAACCCTTTAGCAACCATGATCTGATTTATAGCCCTCCCTTCCATTTGGTTTAAATTTCCCTATAAATCAGATAGGAGAATTTGGTGTTGAAATAGGATAGCACTCTCCACCTGATGATTTTGAGTATTTTAATTCACCTCGAGCAAAGCATTGACAAAAATTGCAGGTATACAAGAGTTACGTGACTGTTCACCACTTCAGAGAGTTTAAACAGTTAAAACTTTTCATCTACAGCTGCACAAATTATATTCCGCAGTTTCTGATAATCAAAGATAATATTATACACCCCATATAGTGAAGACTTCAGAGGAAACAATCACCCATTCAAACTAATTTGAGCAAGGTAAATATATTTGAATCCACTAAAGTTTAAATTCAAGCAGAATCTTGAAAGTTAGAAGCTTTGTTTGAAGCTTTGCAAATACTTTGAAAAGCTTTAATACTATTTATAAAAACATCTGAACATTCTATTTTGTCAAAACAGTGTACAATGATGAAGATATATCCCTCCTACTGGAATACTATAGGTATTATAATAAAAAAGAAACTAACCGTAGTTCTACAATGTTTTCTTGCTTCAACATGCGAAGAACTTTTAATTCCCTCAGTGTGGTTCTCTTGACATCTTCATTTTCTAATGAAATATGTCAGACACAGATAAACATGAACATTCAACAACATGGTTTGGAACAATTAACTGGCAAATTGAATTTAAAGCCATTCACTGTTAAGATTGTGACTGTGGAGATTTCATCAGACAGCACAATCAGTAAAAAGGAGTTCTGTCAATGCACTTGCAGTTTCATCATGAGAGGTTTTTGCCTTTAACAACTGGCAAATGATTGACCCATACAGCTTAATCCTGATTACTGCAGCATTCATTTGTTGTACAACTGTTCAGGTGGCCATTAAAGAAAATGCAGTTTGCTTTAACTGAAGATCCACTCAGTAAATCTTATTGTCAAGTGCTATAATTAAAAGTAAATAAAGTTTTCTTATTTTTGTAAGACAAAAATGCTTCAAAAATACAAGATTCTGTGCATGTCAAATTATGTGAAATTATTGCACCAACCACCAGTCAATGATAACTAACCACCTCCTCAACACAAAGGCTCGAAGTTCCTTTATTCATTCAAAGTAAGGAAGGTGTCAAATCAATGCAAATCACTTAGTAATGAATACTTAAAAGAAAAAGGTGACTAAGCTTCAATATAACTCCTAGATATAACTCCTACAACTTTGTGCCAGCTGCCTGTATTTTTACTTTGCATAAAATTTTCCTTACTAACTTGATTTTTCCCTTTTGTTTTAGGTTATACTAAATAGTACAAGGAAGAGAGAAATAAAATTCAGGCTAGTTTGGAAAACTTTTTAACCTGAAAATTAGACATTTTCGTGGATACTTACCTTCACTGTCTTTGAATTTCTTAACGGCCACAATTTCATTTGTTTCCTGCAGCAGAGTACAAGAAGAGGATGTTTCAGAGGGTAACTTCCACCAAGTAAACATTCTCAATACTTTTTGAAATCATCATGGTAAAAATAAAGTGGTTGTTAATGTATGGTTCTCAAAATTTTGAGCTGATTCAGAGTCTCCTCAGGGTATGGGAAATATTTACCAGTAAGAGGGAATCATAGAATCAACAGCAGTCTTGCATTAAATTGGATTCAAGATTGTCACAAGTTACTTTTCAAGCTCAACCTCTCTCCAGTTACCCTTTAACTTCAAACATCAGTGAAATCTATGGACAGAGAAGTAACCAATCATGATAAACAGTGTTCCCCCCCTTTTTTTTAAGCAAGACAGGTAAAGTCAATTTGAAACTGGTAAATAAAACTTTTTACTCATTTAACCAGAGATGGTACCAGAGATGGAAAAGCCTGCCTGAAAGGAAGACTACTCTGGAACAAACACATTGCCCCTTTTATCTTCTCTTTCTCAAACCTAATTAATACTTTTATCATCCTTGCACAGTAAAATGTCTACATTGAGGCTGAATCATTGGAGTGGCACTTTTATCGAGAAAATTTCCATTTCTCATCTGAGACCTTGAAGCCTTGTTTCTTTTCCCTTATCTAGATTGTAGGGATCCTTCCAGTTGTTTAAGGAAAACTTTAAGACACCATTGGGATGGGTAGATACAAATGCTAGTAACACGATCGCTGAAATTTCAGTCACCAGCATGAGACTCAGTCTTATCCAAACAAACATGATTGTTTGGGTACTGTTTCCATAACATTGTCCCAGTTGCCTCTGGATGGTTTACAAGATGAATGGAACAATACATGGTGACAATCCTGATGATCACATTTAGACAGTGGAGCTGATCTCAGGTAAAATGTCTGCAACTAATGTATGTGCAATCATTTACAACTTTGCCTGTTCCCTGCTAGAATTCTCCTGTAATGCTGCCATATTGTCAATAACCAGGGAATTATATTTGCCATTCAAATGTTTAGTTGGTTTTATTAGATCTTTCTTACATTGAACCAAGCAGTTCTGCACTTCTGGAAAACCGTAAGCCCAAGAATATCTAGCCCGAGCAACTAAACAAACAAATTATCCGAAAAGTAAATATGAAAGACAGAACTGTTCGGGCAACCGAACAACTCCTTTCGCATATTCTTGAATTGGCCCCTGGATATTGAAGGACATCTCTCAAATATTGAGTGATTTTGTAACATGATCCTATTAGGAAATATACTCAAATCTCGCGTGTTTGATGAACTAGCAATCATCAGCCCGCTTAACCTTTGCAACGCGTTGATCCGTATGTTTGATTTACTGTCATAACCGAGGTATGAAATGGAAAAAGAGCTTCCGTTACCTTGTGTCTGCATCTCAAAACCACTCCATAGGCTCCTAGCGATGCAAAAAACACAAACGGAGATGTTTAACTCAAATTTGAACCAGTTAAACCCATATTTAGCTATACAAAATTAACTATAACAGCACAAAACACTGTAGGTTTGAAATTCCTTCAACCCAATTTTAATTTCATTACCATACGGATAATAACAATCTTAAATCAAGGAACGCTTACCTTCGCCTACAATTCCAAGGACTTCGTACTTATTCATCTGTGTTTAACAGACATGCTGTAGGAATATTTAATAATTGATCTTCGCCTGCCGTTGAAATAGTGTGTATGATGCCTCCCAAGAAACGAAAACATATCTTGCAAAGCATCTCCCATTTCAGGAAGTACACTCGGTGCGTTTTACAAATATCACAATGGGACAACCAGAAATATCAATTAATATTACTTTCAACAAAAGGATGTCGTTTTACATCCCGAAAGTGCGTGGTTTTTGATCCAAATTGCATCACATATTTCTCGTTACGGTAACCAACAAGACGAGGGTTGTTATTTCATTTCCCATGATTCCCGACACTATGTAACGACTGAAATTCCTTTCTGATGACGTAAGGTTCGTATGTCGTCGGGTAGATCTCGGGTGCGGGAAAAGACAAAAATGAGGCTTCGTGCTTTTTGACGATGGCCACACCTAACATGTGTTCCAGATTCCATTACTGAGGTTTTCTCCCTTCGAATTCTACCTGTATATTTTAAAGATATGGCTTCTGTGATTTGTTTCATAGTATAACCTTACACTGTACACCAAAATTTCGTTCATAACACCCGGAGAGAGACTAAAATCCGTGATTGCACCGCTGAGCGATCGGGGAGGCCGGAGACTATACAGACTCCATTTTTCATCCTGAGAGTATGTACGCCCCTTTATTTCAATGTGCATTCGCTGAGTCTACCCTATGTTGTGCATACTGTCCCTGAATTACTAACGACTTTTGTCATGTGATATTTAGTATATCGTGTAGATCAGTTTGTTCCTTCGTTCCGAGAAATTCTGCTTTATCTTTTTTGTTTTAGCAAGCTGGATAAGTCGTGACTCTTCTAAAAGCAAATTCACATTTTCACTGTCTGCCATACAATTCTTGTGATGTTGGTTTGGAGAATTTGGATCAGCTATCAATCCCCTAATTGACAATTTTCTTTATTCCCACGCCTACTTGATATTGTATTGATATGATAAGGAGAAATTCTGTCTCAGTAACTCCTGATCTGGGTATTAAATAATTTAATTATCATGTATCATGAATTATGCGACTTATTATGCCATATTCCCGCTTCAGCGCCCACGGTATGCACCACACCCAAGCTACGCATGCACAAAGTACTGTTGACATCTCTATCGAAATAAGCTCGTTTGAAAAAACTTTGTTATGTGTTTCAATATAACGTAGTTGAAAGGTTTGCTTCTATTAGTGATCGTCTTTAAAGGAGGAGACAGAACATGTCGAGGGAAAACTTACACGTAAGTTACATGCTACATCTTGGTAAAATATATTTTTTACTCCAAGCCGATTATAAATGGTTCATTATACGTTCGCGTTCGTGACCTGCTTTCCTAGATCGCTTCGGCGATTTCTGTTAGATCTTTGACAAGCAGTAGAGAACTTTGCAGGTTTTGTCGAGACAGTTGTAAGACCTTCTTTGAACACGATTGAGAAATATTCAAACCATATGGGAATGTTTCGTGGAATCAGTTCGAAGTTAGCTCACTGAAGTGGCGTGGGGCGGAATTCTAATTTTTAGCGTAGCTTTCTCTTAATACTGGTTCATGTTAATCCTCCCTGAAATAATACCATCTTTACACTGGAGGAATTATATGTGTCGTGGAAAATTTTTGGTCACCAAGGAATGGATACTATTGTCAGATTTCCTCCAAGTCAGACAACATGAATATTAGATATAAACGCTTTGATTTGCATGCGTTGAATGTTTACAACCGTTAATCAACTTTTAATAGCTACGTTTGAATTTTTTAAAGTTTTTATGAACGCGAGGTTTCTAGATATCCCATCCGTGCACTTAATGATATCATTCTGAACGTTAATTGCATTTTTCCAATCTGTCGTGGCTTATTAATTAAAGAAAACCTTTCAAAGTTTTGTTTTACATTTGCACAATTTTGCTATACAATGAAGAGGTGCGAATTAGCATTCCTATGTGGTCGATTAGAACAATTCTCTGGCGCCCATTTTCATCACGAAATTTGTGCTTGAAAGTGATTTTCACTTACCGTGTCAGATATTGAGTTGTTGTCAGTGATCCAACATTACCCACTTAAATTAATGTAACTCATTCTTTCCTGTAATCCAACATCCATAGTTTGCAGATATCATACCAGATTCAAGAAAGAAATTACTTGATACTGATTTGAGAAAAAGTAAATGATTTTCTTTTCACTTTTCTCCTAGATCCAGAGTAAAAATGTATATAGTGCTCTTAATTTAAACAGAAATTTAAATTATCAAAAACATTTTTTTTATTAAAACTAATGGCAGGATGAGATGCCCGGGTAAAAATGTCATGTTTACCTGTACTTTCAAATTGGAGATATTAGAAACTATATATTGTGACTGAGGGGTGGGGGAGAGGGGATAATGAAGTGTTTGAAAGTTTTCTTTTTTTTCATATGGTTTTCCTGAGAAAAGGGAAGTTAATAAATCATTAGTTAACTTTATTGACATCATTCAGTTATGATTATGGCACTACACTATAGTTATTGTTGGAGTATTTAGAAGAGCAATTTGATAATTGAGTACCACCAGTCTGTTTAGAGCAATATCATAATTTGTTAATGAATTAAATTTCATTTGACTTTGTGATGAAAATCATGTAAAGGAATGATCTTGACAAAAAACAATGTTAATTCAGACTTCTTTTCTGCTATTTCTTAAATTGCAGCTCACCTCCAAAGATCATTTCTTTATTGAGTATGGCAATATATAACCATGTAAATATCTATAAAGAATTGATTGATTTCCTTGATCTTTCTTTCCTTCCTCAAATTTAAACTTTTCTTTGGAGTCAAGGTGTTTACTGGTTCAATTGAGCAAGATACTATCAGTAAATGTTTTGTCCAGTACCTTGATAATATAATAGTTTAAATCCTAGCTTTTACTCCGCTACTTTAAATTACTTAATCCTTTGCTAAGCACCCACCTCTTTGTCTTTAGAGAAGGGAGAATTCCAAGTCTCGTACATCTATGCGAGAAAAACTGGTAGAGAAACAGAAAGCAACTGATGAACACGAGAGCAACTTTACTGCTGGTCGTGTCAATGTGCGAGAGAGATATCTGCACCGCACTGGAATAAGAGGGAGAAAGAGCTGGATATTCTATGCTGTTTTGTACATTCTGGCTCTCATTGTCATAGTCAATATTGTGGTGAGTGTTTATAGGCTTGAAAACTAAGTGATTTTCTCCTATGGGCATGCCAGCAGACTCTCAAATCACACTTTTGCTGAAGGGTTTTGTTGGGTGAACTCAGTATTAGGGGTAAGGAAATCTTAATTGAAGGTCAGAGTACAGGATTTTAATTAGACAACTAAACTCTCCTAGGATAAACAGATTAAAGCCAAGAAGAGGGTTTCGAGACATGCACAACAACTGGCATTTTAACTGTACTGACTATAAGAATAGAATTTGATAATGAGTTGGTTAGAAAACATGAATTTGTCTCTGACTGCAGGAACACATAATTAGTAGCTATTGTTAGAGCTGAGATTTTTCTTCTTTCTTACAATGCACAATTTTATCACTCTTTCTGTTCACAGATGCTTGCCATTTTGTATCATGTCTTGCAAATGAGCAAAGATGGGATGAAGTGCTTGTCATTTTTTGAGAATGATAATGTTCGATTTCATTGTATAAGTGACCTGGACTCAGTCAATTTGTATGCAAATCAAACTGGAACTTTTAAAGACCACAACTTGGTTATTGATAGTGATGACGAAAAGGTAATTTATGATGAAGTTAGAGTAGTCCACAAACTTTGGTACAAGTTGTGAAAGGAATCAAGACTTCAGGTTAAAGGAATAACAGCAGTGAGACTGAAACTATTTTGAACTTCATTGTGACCCTACACTAGTTATGGAGTCCTTTAGTTTGTGATAGTTACAATTCTCTTTGAGCCACATGTAGTCTGTTGTGACCTGGTTTTTCATTGCAGTTCAAGCAAATGACAGCCTTGAGCTAGCCTCCCAGTTAGCTCAATTGGTTAGAACGCTGGACTGTTGTGTGGGAGGTCGAGGTCAATGGTTCGAGCCCTGGCCGGACCAACACTCAAGGTCTTAAAATAACTGAGGAGAATGCGCTACCTTTCTATAATATCAAGAAATGGTAGACATTCTAGTCTTCTCGGTTAAGGACGAATAAACCGTAGGTCCCGTCTCCTGGATCTAGTAATTAGTTAATTTGGTTAGCCAGGGAACGTTAAAGAACCCACTCATGAGATTACTGTGATGTGGTCTGGCCTGTTTACTTGCAATTGGGGGGAGGGGGCATCTTCAAATAAGTTTCCTTCGATTGTTTGTAAACTGCTGATGCAGTCTGGCCAAAGTCCCCC